AAGGGACTTGAGGGAATCAATTTGTCCAACGCACCTTGTTTAGCAGATAAGCAGTCAGAGGTCTGGACAAGTTGAATGGACTGCCCAAATGTCAAAGAGCAACCTACCAGCATGCTGCCCTAGACTGGAGTTCTGGTTTCCTGGTCAATTTCTCTAAAGCCTTAGCATGTGCTTAGTATTGTTCCAAGAGGCACATATGACTTACCCTCCAGTGTGGAGTGACACAAAAGGACACACTTACCCCTTATGATTACTTAATTTCACATCAATAAAATAATTCATGTACTATTTTGGGTCCTGCTTTTTTCACTTAACATCAGAGCTAAGGCCTTCATTATTAAATTTTTATAATTCTAAACACCTCTCGACAAGAGAAATCTTTTCAAATCAAATTATCTGCTGACCTGAAAAACCTAATGCAAAGCAAGTTGTTTATTTTTTTTAACTGGACCCACATGACCCAATTAGTTCTCAACAAAATTAACAAGGGGAAATAAAAACTTAATTTTAACCCAGTCATGACAAAACAGCTCAGATAGTGTATTCTTTGACATTTCAACATGCTTTCGAGGTTTTAAAGCATTTCTCAGTATGAGTTAATTATTCATCACGAATATTCCTTCAAACCTAGTAGCTTTATCTTTCTGAGGATTCCTCTCCTTTTGTTAATATTCAAACACACAGGGGAACATTATTATGAAGCCCTAAAGTGTTAATCCCATGCTTAAATGAAGAAACATGGCATTACCCCTGCATGTTGAACTCATGATAAATTCTCAAAGTTTTTCAGACAGAAAAACAGGGGAGCCCAAACTTCATGTCCAGGCTAAGTTTTCCACTGAAAGCTATAACTGGCAATTCCCAGTGAATAAAATGAAAGCCTAAACCTGACCCATCCCTGTTTGAATAGCTGTTTGCTGTGGCTCGCTGTGCATGAAGAACACAGAAGCACAGTTCTACCAATCATTCACCTCATCACAATATCTGTTAAAGGCTTGAGTTTTATAGCTCTTAGTTTGCCCAAAACACAAAGACCCAGTATAAAGCATGTAAGTAAGAATTTTAAGCACCACAAGAAATAACAGTCCATTAACTGATGAAATAGACTATAACACAGGAATGGGGAATATTGTGGGGTACAATATAAAGTCAAGATCTAGCCTCAGTATTCTCACTTATAAGATTAGAAAGATAAACAATTACTATTGGTGTTGGAACTGTTTACATGACTTATTAATTGGAGAATACACATGAAACAATACATAGGAAATCATGAAAACTTACTTTTATAAATGAAGTAAAGCCATGGATGCCCAGGAAGAGCAAGTTTTAGATCTAAGATGTTTCTCTTGGACAATGACATTAAGACCAACTGTCCAAGAGACAATCCTACAGCAGGGCCAATCCTAAGATTTTGCCTATGATGAGCTTCAGACATCTTTTTTATGCTCTTGTTATTTTAATAACTCCTGCCCCTCAAAAAAAAAAAAAAAAAAAAAAGGAAAGCCTTCAGACATCTTTTTTATGCTCTTGTTATTTTAATAACTCCTGCCCCTCAAAAAAAAAAAAAAAAAAAAAAAAAAAAAGGCAAGGCACACCATTACCATAGTTTTGGACAAAAGTCTCCTTGACTCCCAGAAATAAAAGGAATCAGCTAATTCATAGTAATCCTATATTCTTTCAGTTCTGCATTTTAACTTAGATTTCTATTCATCATAGCCCCAGAAGAATACAATTAATTCTCACACACTTCTCTTGGATCAGTAGTGCATGCTGATTAGTGTTGCTTTAGTGGAAAGCCAGCACAGTATTTTTTTTTTTTCCATTGGGATTGATTGGAAAATCGTTCTAAATATATCGCATTGAAAATTGAGGTCTCATCTACTTGAAATACACTGCTCTTTAATTTTAGATTCCGATATGGGGTTAATATTTTTCAGAAGGGCAAGCCACCACCATTTCTCAGATCTTTTCTCATTCCTCTTTCTACACAGCTTGTTATGTTGGGTTGTATGAATATAGGACACATTAGGCCTTAGAGCTTCTAGAGAACATGGCCGTCTGTCACATCTCCACATTGCAAAGGACATATGAGAGAACTTACTGGAAGTGTCTTTTTGCCAGAGTGTGTAAAGGGATTTACCAGGAGGCTTTTATTCCGGGTACTACCTCCTTACAGACGAGTGTCAAAATAGACAAGGAGCCTCACACTATTTTCAGGATATAAATTTTAGCCTAACAATTAGCTCTCCTAGGTATTGAATTATTGTTTTCACTTCTCTTCTTTCCAGAATATCAAGTCCCAAATTCTTAAAGTATTTGGTGATACAGTATGGATCCCAGGTGCCTAATAGTTTTCAGGCAGAATTGTTGTATTTTTATCCCTGGAAAATGCAACCATTATTCAGTATCAACCTATTCCCCCTAAAATATAACGACTTATTGTTCAAACTTGAGCAATATGTCAAAAAACAATTCATCACATAATAACTGATTAAAATTTATGCAAGAATATAGGATAGGTCTGATTCCCCTCCTTTAGATATGAGTCTCACACCCACCTCCTCTGTCCTCAGATGTGTTGTTCAGACACATTTGTTATCATCCTTGATGAGAGAAAAGTGGCATAGTGCCCAGCTGATGCATTTTCTGAGTCATTAAACCAGATTTCTCCATTTTTGAGTGTTCTTGGAAAAAAGTTTTCTGTATTTTGGTAGTGGAGTGAGGCTCTTAGCCAGAATTCTTTCTATCAATTCTTTAATGTTAACTGCTAAATTAAATTATTTAAAGTGGGCTTTTCCTGTATTATAATATAGACTCATTGGTGGCTCAGAACCAAATCCTGTGGACATGTAGATGTGCGTGCTTCCCCAGTGGTTGTAACCTGAGGACTTTATTTAAACTGTCCTTTGAATCTACAGTAATTTGGTGTCAGGGAGGAATAGGATCTTTATCAACAAAGGGCTGCCAGAACCCCAACTGCTTCTTGAGTAGCTATAATAGATGAATAATGTTACAACCAACCGTGCATTTCAGTTTTTGCTCAAAAGGCTTTTCACTAATGCTGGTGGTATTCCATATCCATGTGTTCATCTTGGAGCCCAGCAGTTTCCATCTGACTTTCATTACTTTTTCTTGAGAGGATCAGTTTTACAACTGGAATCAGAAAAGCAGTCAAAGTAATTGCAAGTGGCAATCAGTGAAATAGAGTAATCTTAGCTTGGGAACATATGTTCCATTATAAAGAAAATATTCTTTTTTTTTTTTTTTTAAATAAATCCAAGACTAATATTTTCCCAGAGTAAGAAGGGACCATGTACAGGTTCTATTGCTACCTCCCTGTAAAGTGTTTGTTCCCCTTCAGGGATAGGCAACTCATTACCTCTGGAGGAAATCTATCCCCTTTCTGAGTCTGACTTTTATTATACTGGAGACGAAATTCATCTCTCTGTAGTTACATCCTTCAGAACTGAAAGACTTGGGTCTCAACATAGTAAACTTCAACCTCTCTTCAGACACTTATGGGCAGCTCTTATCTCCAACCCCTATCTTTTTGCCAGGTTATAATATATATTCCTTTCTCATAAGGAATAGCTTTGATTTCCTTAATTATTCCAGCCACTCTTCTTGAAAGAAACTCAAACTTACCCCCTATACCCCTTTTAAAGCTGTTGTGCTGAAGGAAAATTAGACTTTTGATCAGAATATCTGTATTACATTACAGCTGTGCTACTTACTAAATGTTGGAACGGAAGCACATAATTTGCTCTTTTTGTCACTAGGAATAGCAAAGGTGAATAAAAGAGATGTGGTCTAGAGGCACATAAAACAAGCAATAAGCAAGTTAACAAACAACTAAATATGTAATTTCAATGTGTAATAAGTCATATAAAGAGTTGCCAAGAGGGTTCTTAGGTCCCAGGGTATCAAGGGCAGGCCTTCTGAGATGGAGGCTGAGTGTTTTCCGATGGGAACAAGGCAGAGAGTGTTGTAGGATGTGGGAGGGTACTAAGCTAAGCAATGTTTTCTAACAAAGTCAGCATCTAGAAGCAGGCCAGCGTCTAGAGTTCAGAAAGCGAGGAGGTGAGTGGGACAAGATGAGTCTGGAGAAGTACAGAGTTTAGCCAGAGCATAGCCATTGTTGAGAGTTTGGATTTTATTTAAAGTATAAGGGGAAGCCATTGTTGGCTCTGAAGAAGAGACATTACAGCGTCTGAAATATATTTTTAAAAATTGCTCCCATACTAGATAGAGAGCAGACTGCAAAGGACAAAGCAGAAGCGGAACAACCAATTAGGAGGCAGTTGTCATAATCCAAGGAGAGATTTCATGTGATACAACAACCCATTGAGGTTTAAACAAGAAGCAATACCCTACAGAGGTTAAGACACAGATGTAGCAGACTGCCTGCCTGCCTATAATTAAACCAGACTCCACCAATGTCAGCAAGCTCTGTGCACCTCGGTTTCCACCTCTGTGAAAGGAAGATCATGACAGAACTTCACAGAGTTGTTGTGAGGATTAAAAGAGTTTATATATGAGTTTCCTCTTAGTTAAATCTGGAAAGAATTTTTCACTGTTATGACATGTTCCACCCTATATTGCATTTTCAGGCTCAGGCGTTACTTTAGTTGGTTTTTGTCTGGAAATGAAGAAGGGAATGAGTGAGGAAAGTGACCAGATAATTGTTTATCCTCCTTTGCAAGCTATATTTTTCTGATGCAATGGAGAAAACAGACAGTGTGTGAGAGAAAAGGCATTCTGTGGACAAGTGGTTGTGTTTTTCTTTCTTTGGAGTCCACCTTGTCACATGATAAATACAAACATTGCATTACTCTAACGTAATGGTCCCAGTAAGACCTATTTTCAATCTTGTTTAAAACCCAAACTTTAATATAGTGTGACTCCTCTTAATATAACATTGTCTCATTAGGGCATGTCCCAGGCTGTTTCCTCTTGTGATATGTTCACCTCATTGAATAACACTCCTTGTTTTACAGGAATCCCAGGAAGTGACTATGTGAATGCTAACTACATAGATGGCTATAGGAAACAAAATGCCTATATTGCAACACAGGGATCCCTCCCCGAAACATTTGGGGACTTTTGGAGAATGATATGGGAACAACGGAGTGCCACAGTTGTTATGATGACAAAACTAGAAGAACGATCCAGGGTAAGGATGAATATCTACCTTCTCCCTTTTAAAATCTTCCCTCAGATAGTTCCTGCATTGCATATTTTATTCTGGTCAGAATCTAACCTGTCTTTAAGCTTTGACTTTGTAATAGACACTAATTGTGAATGAGCATCAACAGCTTAGATTAAACCATTCTTTAACATTCTTTTGCATCTTTCAAAAAGGAAATTCTCTCATGTTACGATGTGTGTGATCGCTAAAAGAAAAAAACAGCACTCAAAGAAGTAGACAAGTTGGTTAGAAAAAATAAATATTAACTTGGACATCTTTGTAAAATCCACATTGAACAAGAACACACAGACTATGGGGGAGAATCCCACCATTTGTACTTCCCAATATTTTCAACTTTTTCTTTCTCATAACCTGCAGTGTAAAATCTAAAATTCTGTGAAAGAGGCTCTTTTTAAAAATTATTCAAATTAGCATAAATTAAGTCAGGGCAGCCAAAAAAATGATGTTGGTTAATACACTGCTGAGAAAACACATAAATGTGTAGAGGGCATTTTGTTAGTTTAGCCTTCTCCAAAGTGAATAGATTTTGATAATGGAGTCATTGCTTAGTAAGGTCCAAGAAAGGAGTTTTATTCATCATATGGGTCCAATATTATGGAGCATGGCACATTAGTTAAATGCTCTTGATTTGCAAAACTAGAACATAATGGGTAAGCAGGATGCCATATTCCCAAGTGAATATGCCAAGTGAATATCATAGCCATCTGATGAAAATCAATCTGTAACCTTGAGAATTTAAGGCACAAGTAAGTCTCTGACAAATCACTGAAGACAGCACATACTCTCACTGTATGGGGCCTTCGGGGCAGAGTTTGAAACCACTGGTAGAGGGCTCGTTCACTGGGGTCACAGTACTATCAAAAAGGATATTTAGAAGGAAGCCAAAGCCCAACTCCCCATTTGTTGTGTGACAGTTGAGATTTTTTTAATGTTCTCCTAAGCTCAATACATGGCAGTTTCTCTTAGCCCCAGTATGTACATGAGAGAGGAGTTGTAAGCTGCTCAGGAGATTCATAAGGGAAAAGCTCAGACTTAGGAAAATATAAAAAGTCCCAGCTGTTACCTTAAAGCTGGGAAATCAATAGATATAGTACACAACTTGTTTAGCAAACCTAAAAAGCAATCAGGTCTTTTCAGAATGTGAATTCTACAGAAATATTGAAATATTGTCTGAAAAGAATTTAGATAAAAACTTTGATGGCTGCGAAGACGTCTCTATGTTATACTTTACATGCAAATGCCATTCAAAATGGATGTAAATAGCTCCATTATTGACTTGTACTCAGGGTAACCCCTATCTAGCAAGCCCTTGCTTTAAAAACAATCCCCCACCCAAATAATTATTGGATATAATCGTTAATCATTCTAACAATGCCTAACATGTATTGGATACACTGATATTTTACAACAACCCATGAGATAAACACTTCTGTGATTTCTACTTTATATATATGAGTAAGGCCAGGACTTTCCAGAAGGTCACCTAAGCTCATTCAGTTACCAAGGTCAGAGTGAGGAATTGAAGACAGCCTGTCTCCACAACATCTGTGCTTACCCACCAGGCCGTACTGTCTGTTAACACTTCTGTGAAGTGGAGACAGCTGAACTGTTATATTACAGCACACATGTAAATCCAAGCTACTCGGACTGTTCTGCCTGGAGATACCGGCTGGTAACAAGCAGTCATTTGCAAAAGCTGTTTTCAGTAAAACACACATTTTTATCTTGACACTGCAGGCCTTCATTAAGCCGTGCACAGAAACTTGTTTTGAAATAACCGAATGGAATTCTGCCCCTTTTCTCCCTAATTGCTTCTAATAATAAAATTAGTTCTAACTGGCCCCACTGCCAGTGCAACATCTGATGGTAATGAGCAATTCTTGGCAGAAGGCATATTGTGACTTAAATACCTACAGTTTATCTTTATGTTGCAGGCTACCTTTTTTTCCCACGTCAGACAGAGAAACTTATTTGGAAGTTACTAAATGAGCCTCTGTTTGCTCTCTTCATTAATTACTCTTTGCTCTTGCAAGTTAGCTTTCTCCTTTGTAAAATGACCTGAGGAGGCCAAGTAAAGTGCTGTCTTGTGATTTTTATTCTGCGGTGGTTCAGTCTATACCTAAACTTATGATGACCTGCATAAGCCAATAGTTAGAAATCTCAACCGTCATCAACCTAATCATACAAATGAACCCTGACCCCCAAGGCCCAAAAAGGCCTTTGTTCTCCAGGCTAGAACACTTGAGAATAAGGGACCAAATGCCCTAGAGAGAGCTAACAAAGCCCTGGTCCTCCAAATTATCTCACCCCGTCTTCATCTTCCTGCCTCACATCCTCCACTCCACCTTTCCCCTGTCCACTTGCTGTTTCCACCGAAGTCCCAGGGAGGAAGCGGAAAGCACTCCTGGATTCTCAAAACAAGAACATAGATTAAATTTTGCTATAAAAACAGTGTTATAAATAGTGGTTAGTTGTTGCTGAAATATACAGCTCCATACTTGGGGAACTTTGTGAGTTATGTGGGCTGACCTGGGGACTCAATTCCCAGCAGCCAAGTTCAAAGTAGACATATGAACCAGCCTGGCTTTACTTAGAAACAGCCTGTAGTCTCTCTTATAAAGAGAGGAGGTCCAGGTAGTTTAAACAAATCACCTCTCCAAGGGCTGAAGCTTGAAATTTCATTATTTTGATGAAGGCTCAGGTTCCTGAAATAATATTCATCCCCTTGGCTTCTTGAAAAAAAGGGGTGTGTGTGTGTCTGTGTGTGTGTGTGTGTGTGTGTGTGTGTGTGCATAAACACTTCTGTGTATTACAAGCAGGCAGGAATACCTGTTAACCGGAGTGGGAAAGAGAAAGGAAAAGGAAAGGGAAGAGAAGATAGCATATTACACAGAACTCCCTGGGGACACCACCACTAGCGGAAGCTACCTGACATAGTTCCAGGTAGGGGTGCCTTGCAGTCAAATGTCTGTGTTTAGATCCCGACTTTAGTGCATACTAGCTATGAGACATTGGGCAAGCTGCGGGACCCCTCAAAGTCTCCTTTCTCCTTTTTGGATTACGTGAAAGGGTTATGGTTATTGTGGGTATTGCCTGAGACAAGGAATGTGACAGGGTGGCTCAGTGAGTCTACACTATTATTTTTTGGTTGAGATAGAGAAGTTGGAGGCTTTACCATTATAACTTTAGTCTCCCCTAAAGCTGGCTTCCAAATAATTCAATTTTTGTTCCCAAATGAAATGAGTTTGTTTCTCTATGGTTGACAGTGAATCCTAACCAAACTCAAGAGTCACTGCGCATGGCAAAATGTGCCCACTGTCCCCAGGATGGCACAACCATGCATCCTAGTCAAGAGGAGAGTGTAGCTCAGAACATGGGGTTCTTCTGCACGTGCCTTTGACAGAACCTCCAGAATGGAGACCCTGACCCAGGAAATGTGTTAATCAGTCTGCAAAAAGACCACAATAGAACATTCTGGCTGCTACTTTCACATATCTTGAAGAATACAGTATGAAAATAGTGAGTAATGTCAACACGAGTTACATGTAGTAATAATTATCACTAAATATAATATATTCTTGATACCACCTTTCCTTCTGGTTCGGTTTTTCATTCTCCTTCCTCATTCTTTTGTATTTGGTGATGCTAGGGAACTCTCCCTTTAAAACCAACCTCCTGTGTTTTCCACCCTCTTCTGTACCAAGGCTCACCCTCACCATCTCTCTGTGGTTGATACAGTAGCAGGGCTTGTTACCTTTGCTGAGTTAGAATAGTTCACTCAAGCAAAAGGATACTGGGTTCCTTAGCATGTGTTAGACATTTCACTGGTCTTTTGTTAGAGAATTGACCATTTTTAGCGTTTGGAGGGCTAAAGAAGCCCTTTACAAGTGTGAGGTATGGCTTAGGGCTTAAGGTAGCCATGTGAAAACTTAAGTTCTTTGATTTTTCAAATGCCATCACTCTCCCTCAAATGTGGCCTTGAAGAAATCCCAACTTAAATCAGGAGACTATTTCCACGGTTGTACATTCACCACTTATCAACCCTGAAGAGAATATGTGTAAGTTGAATATTTTCTTTGAGTTTCATTAGAATGAATATATATATATATATAAAGCTAAAAACTAGATTTTGAAGGTAAAGTTTGATTGCTGCCTGAAAATGCACAGATCAGTTTAAAGCCTTGTATACTGTGTGACATGAGGTACGGTTAGTGGGTTTTATTCCACAGTTTCCATCTTTTTTGCCAAATCCTCTCAAGTTCTGCAGAGTTCATTGATTCTGCAGCGAGCCATTCTTCTGCCCCAGAATGTGGTCTCTAATTGTTTCCATGTTTCATAACATGCCAATAAGCACATGAATTGGTTTGGGCAACCACATGGAGGGAAGAAAAAGTTCGGAAAAAATGAAGCACCGATAGGAGAGCAAAATGTATACAGCTGGGATTTCCACTCCAAGGGTGTTATTTGTGGGCAACTGGGACACATGGTTGGCAAGCCTCACTTGAAGAATTGGAGTCTCTGAGGTAGGATGTGCCAAGGTGATTCCTGGTCCAGGAAGCTCTATTATTTAGTGGGTGATTGTTCACTTTTTTCTTTTTTTTCCTTTATCTATCTGCTTTTTGCTGTTTCTCTTCAACTTTGTTTCTCATCTTGAGGTATACAAGACAGAGGGAACGTGTACACCTATGGCTGACAAATTCTTGAGCAGCCTTGATTAGTGTTAGAGGGTGACATGGCTTCACCGAGGTTAAGGGATATTTGGCTTTCACTTGTCTTCCCAGCCCGCCTTCAGTCAGTTCCCGTAGTTGACACTTATTGTTGCTTCATGTCTCGCAAGTTTTATAGTGGGAGTTGATTCACTTAAAGAGCGATTATTGTGGTGGTACTTAGTGCTATAAATGTCAAGGATGGGAGTGAAATTTTGACACCCAAAAAATGGGACATGATTTGAAGTGTCATCCAAT